CCAGCGAGGCCTGGGTCACCTCTGCTCTCATCAACCAGCCTGGGGTGAGATATAAGTTAGTAGCTGGCATTTAACTTATTTAATGAAGATATGGTTTAGTTTGATCAAAGGGGTCAAACAGGATAACAGATAGAAAGTTCTGTTGAAAGGTTGGAAATATTTGTTATCTTACATGCATGTGGAAAATATAAACCCAGATTAGCCTGCAGGATAAAGCCAATAGATTATCCTAAAAAGAGGCCAACAGACTTTTACAGCCTTTAATCAACTTTTATATCAAAATATTATGGCCTTTTTTTAATGCAAATACTTTTCAAGAAAGCTTTAAATCATGACTGGTTGCTTTTTTTTTATTATTTACACAGAAGCTATTGAATTTTTCAAAGGAAAATGAAAAATAGAAGGTGTTGATCCTACTCTATGAAACATAGTCTGAGAATAGAACATCTAGAGTAATTCCTGCAGGCGTAACTTCCTGAATTGAAGAGAAGATGAAGTAAAAAGCAGGGGTATCAGAGAGCATCTGTTCTGTGCATTGATGGTTTAAGGTTTATTCCAAGGTGTGGAGCACACAAAAAAATAAATAAATAATGTTTTGAAAGTCTTAATGATAATGCTATAAATGTTGTGGGGAGAAATAAAACTGAGGCCCACCCTAGAATTAAAAAACAATACATTTATACTCCCAAACCAAAGGACATCCGTTTCAGGTCAATTCTTGTAGACACATGCAGGACAGAAATAGGTAACTACTTGCATCCTACATAGATATTATCACGGGCAATAATTTTTTTAAATATCAACAATGGTGGTGCAGGGATTAATTGCACCACCCATGTATGTGGTCTCACCATCTCACCATCAGTTCGGGGGTCCTTGGCCTAGAAAATGTTGAAGACCCCTGGGTTAGATACTGATTAAAACTCTCAAGCCCACATCAGAAGTTAGGAACTGCCCTTTAATTTGTTTGTTTTGTTTTTTTAAACAAGGTGAACTCAGTCATGTCCGGTACCCTCGGCTTTGGGGTGAAAAAGGCAGACATTCCGGGTCTTCAGCGCCATCTGTTGGATCTGGATCCTTATGCAGATGCCCTAACAGAGGAATTCTGGGAGACGGTGTGTTTAAATTAAAGTTGATGCAAGAAACTTAAAAACAGGCCATGTGACATATCATTTTTTATGTTAATTACATGTTCTAGCTATTTAACTGCACACTGGACTATAGCAAAGCCCTGAAAAAAGCCAAAGCGAGAGCCAAGGAGGTGAACGGCACACTGGCCAGAACAGTGAAGGGGTTACCAGATGGTCTGTGCACTGGCAGTGAGAATGTGGCTCAGCTCAATAATACCTACTCTGACGTCTCTCAGTTAAGAATCACTTACAGGTCAGTAACCACAGCGCAAGCGACCATTAAAGGACTCACCGATGCTTGTAATGTCCTCACTCCACCTTTTTCCCCTCTTTAACTAATTCTGCTACTGTGTTCATACTAAGATTTTTACACAACCTTTGTTGGGTGACCTACGAATAAGATATTTTACAGTTGATAAATAATGGATTCTGTTAATTTAAAATTTGTATTGGATAGAAAATACATTAAGGAATAAAAATGTTTTCCACAGTGTTTACAAAGCAGTGTATGCTGTGGCCAACGCCTTACACAACCTGGAACACTGCGAAGAAGGAAAAGGCCCATTTGTTGGAGGGACCTGTGCCAACATCACAAATTTTGAGCCCTGGCAGGTAGGCATATATAGATATTACAGATCTCACTATACTATGTGGTATTAATTGTCCTCATAACTCACCACTTTGTCTTCCACAGCTGATGTATTATGTGAAAAACGTGCGTTACACAATGCCTAATACGGGAGAGGTGATCTACTTTGAGGACGGTGACATAGAGGGCTTCTATGACATCATTAACTGGCAAGTGAACGGTAATGGAGAGATATCTTATGTCACGGTGGGACACTACAACGGATCAGCCTCTCCAGAGGAGAGGATGCACATAAGCAATGACTCCATTGTTTGGAACAATGAGGAACTGGAGGTCAGTCGGTTATATAACGGTTAGTACAGCAATTAAAGTTAAGCCATATTTTTGTTGTGTTACGGAAACTAAAGTTGTCTCCTATGTGTGCCCAAGCCTCCTCGGTCAGTGTGCAGTGAGGACTGTCAGCCTGGCACGAGAAAGGGGATTCGGCAGGGGGAGCCCGTCTGTTGCTTTGACTGCATCCCATGTGCAGATGGAGAAATCAGTAACACCACAAGTCAGTGTGCACCTTTCCAATTATTGTTAACATTTTTAGGTTTCTGAAAATAATATATATGAATAAATACACCTTAACTCATATTGGTTAAATCCCCTTTAGCTTTTAAGGTGTTTCTGGCCTAGTACTGGGTTGCTATTTACCCACTCCTCTAGTCACAAGTGGAGTTTTTTTTTTACATTGGTTGGTCTCCTCTCAAAGCATTACTATAGTATTTTTTTTCCCAGGTTTTTGTTGTCACTACACTGTCACAGGTACAGAGCAACAAAATTAACTCTCTGCATTTAACCCATCCCCTTGGGGAACAGTGGCCATTGTGTGGCGCCCAGAGAGCAGTGTGGGGTTAAGAGTCTTTTGGTTCACTAAGGGACCCAGTGTGGCAGTCTGTGGGAGTGGGGCTTGAACTCAGAACCTTTGCATTCCAAGCGCTATGCTCTAACCACTAGGCCGCCACTGCCCAAAAAAACATTATCACTCTCCCTCATCAATGTGATGTCTTGTAGTCAACGTATTCCTGATAACCAATATCCTTTATTTTGATGACTGCTACACCACAACTTGAATCACATTTTTTTTATTTCAACTGATAATCTTACAATCTGTCATTATTTACAAGTTACTCCAAAATACTTTCCCTTCTTGTATAAATAAAATTTTACTGTTAAAGATCTTAAATTACATTTTTTGCTAATTTTATTACATATTTCTATTACAATTTCTCATTAATTTCTCCAGTATAATCCAAATCAGTCAGTGAGGAGGCATAGAGTTTGGAATCCTGAGGTTCTGAGTTTGAGCCCCACTCCCACAGACTGCCAATCTGGCTCTCCGAGCAAGACTCTTAACCCCACACTGCTCCGCACAATGGCAGCCCACTGCTCCCCAAGGGGATGGGTTAAATGCAGAGGTACATTTCTCCAATGTGAGATTAATAAAATTCAATTATTAGCAGCTGTCTTGCTAAAGTGGTAAGTCGTCCGTCCTGCCTGGGTTTGTATCCCAGCTGGAGGGGGGGAGAATAGCTGCCAGTGTGGGTCCTAAGGCGAAACCCTTCACACTAATGCCTGCTTTGGCAACAAATTCATTTTGTTGCTCTGTACTTGTGACAGTGTAATGACAATAAAACACTGGAAACCAGTGCTGTCAAACAAACAGAAATTTGTACACTTAAAACAGCATACTTTGTTAAATATGGTAAACTTATATGGATTTTAAAAATGAGACTAAAAAAACAGTCCATTAAATATGTGGAAACCTTTGACATACCTTTACCCATAAACATTTAAAATCCCCAAATTGTAGGCTGCTCATAATGGGTGTGTGTTAAATTTTAACTAATATTATCAACAGACATTTGTGCTTTGTTACAGTTGTTTTATGTTTCTTTTTATGCCCTTAAAACCTTTAATACTTCCTCATTTAGTTCCTATAAACACGTTCAGCTGCTCTACTAGAATTTTATCAAGCGGAGTCATTTTTATATATGTTTGCCTGATAAATCTCCTCTTTTTTGTGAAATAAAAGTATTTTCTTGTGTTCATTCTGCCATTTTCTTTTGGAAGTGGAAATTAATTATTCTAATGTGCTTAATGTGCTGCTGCCTGCTTACCTCTGTAATTCTCTAAATGTCTTGTTCTTTCTTTGACAGATGCCCGTGAATGCATCCTGTGTACTGGAGACGACTGGTCCAATGACGCCCATGATGCCTGTGTGCCTAAAATCATTGAGTTCCTTGCTTTTGGAGAACCGCTTGGAATTACCTTGATAGTGATCTCTGCATTTGGAGCTTTAATAACCATAGCTGTTGGGGTGAGAGTCATATTGCAGAGAAAACCAAAACATCTATGGTTAAAATGTTTACATTTATTGTACGAAATGGGCATGAATGAAGAGTTTGAAAACAATAGTATTTTTCCTCATTCTAACCATATATTAGATGGTAAGGAAAATGTTTTGCAATTTTATATCTGGATTATACTCTGGTGAGCCTATATTTGAGAGAGAACATTTTTCAGGGAATTTTTTTGTACTTTCTTCAGATTTTGAAGTATATTCATATAGAATTTGGGAAACAGTTTTAAAATTCATAAATAGTGCTGAATATACAATAGTTTGTTGGAATTTACTAATTTCTCTTAACAGAACCAGAGTAACTGATTCGGTTTAAACACCATCTTGCAAATTGTGACTAATTTAGCGGCATGCTAAGGTTCATTAACCCTTTATCACAAGCTTTAAATATTTAACTGATGTCTTAAGATTTTTTTCTTTGAATTTCTCCACACCATTTTCACTCCTTGTGATACCATCTGTATTATGCAGTGCACTAGTACTTCTATGCAAAACAGAAAACCCAAGATGATGCCTATATTTCGCAATTATCATGGTGTTTTCACTGAGCCTTTTGCATTTATGCTGGGCTCAATGCTTAAATCTTTACAGTATAGAACTCCTTGCTGAACAGTAAAACGGTTGGACATTTCCATTTTGTTTGTATTTCCATTTTATTGTTTGAACAGATGCATGTAGCACCTCAGCCATCTAGAAATTATAACCAAGGATGAGCCATAGTTGTTGAGGTCCACCATTCTCTTCCTGAGTTGTTTTATTTTTCTGTGATGTCACACAAGTAAGCTGAGCATTTGAAGATTTGCCTACAAGTAAATGTTATTGTGAAGAACCTATTAGAAGTTCAATTATGTCACCTTCATCTGGGCTTACTTGGATTTTATAGATACCTAGTAATCTTAGTATATGTGAATCTCTGAGTTTGCAGGGGGAAAAAAAGAAAATCCTCTGAAAATATTTTCTCTGTGTAATTTAGTCAAAAAATAATTTAAGGAATACTAAACAAATGAAGTTTAATCTGATTCAGTATCAGCCAGTGAGGAAGCAAATCATCTTTTAATATACAGTTCCTGCAAAAACTTTAACCCTAAAATTTCTTCTACAAGGTGGTGTTTTTGATGTACCTTGGAACCCCTCTGGTGAAGGCCAACGATCCCCTGTTGAGTTTCCTGCTACTCTTATCTCTGGTGGTAACCTTCCTTTGCTCCATCGTCTTCCTCGGAGAGCCTCAAAACTGGAGCTGCATGACCAGCCAAGTAGCTTTAGCTCTCGGCTTTGCTCTGTGCCTTTCCTGCATTATGGGTTAGTAAACAGCATAGATTTATTATTTATCTTCTGATATGCATGGTGCCTTGATCTTTTTTTTTCCTCCAGGTAAGGCAGCCTTGTTAATGCTAAGAGCTCGAGCTCTGAAAAAAGCCAGGGCCAAAGCCAAGGCAGCTGCCAAAGCTGCAAAAGCTGCAGCTGAAGCAGCAGCAAGCAGCGGCAGTCCTGATGTGATAGTAAACAGCTCCATCAACAATGACGCAGGTGCTTTGGATAAACCTGAGGTTGACGCTCTCACCTTTGGTCACCAGAGGGCAATGGCTGCTGTGGCAACATTAATACAGGTGAGCAACATTAAGAAAATAACAAAGATAAAACATAAACAGTCACATGAGATCAAAACAAGTGTAGAAAACTAAATACAAAAGGGAATATGATAAACAACTCTGATATCTGAGCAGATCAAAAACCCAAAGAAACAATCCTCCCTCTATCTAGGCTGTAGCATGCACGCTTTGGCTCATCATCCTCCCTCCACACCCCGTGAAGAACACCGCTGCTCAGAATATAAAGATCATTCTTGAGTGTGACGAAGGCTCTGTCATCTTCATCTGCTGCATCTTTGCGTATGACATCCTGCTGGCTCTGCTGGCTTTCATTTTTGCCTTTACTGCCCGCAAACTGGAAGACCACTTCAGGTATGTATCTTAGAAAAAGATTTATGTTTTGAGGTTATAAATTAAGTCCTTTATACCCCTTTGAACCTTTCTACAATTTCTGATGTTACAACTAGATCCTCCAATGCATTTTAACTGGATAACACATTAAAGATCAAGAAAAAAGTAAAGTTTAAAGAGTATGGCATGCATTTGCATGGCCATCGTCCTTTTGGATAGAAACTAGTCCAACCAGATGCCTAAGAGGTTTATGTTCTGAAGCTCAAGAGGCAAAGCGTATAGTTTAAATTATGATCAATAGTCTAAGTCAGGGGTCTACAACCTGTGGCTCCAGAGCAGCATGTGGCTCTTTGGACCCTCTATAACGGCTCTCAACAATGGGGAAAAATTATATGAAGAACTAAATAATATACTTTGTTAACAAATATGCTTTATAAGCTAAATATTTTTAGACATATTTTCTTATTATATTATCTTTTTTTTCACATCTCATGATATCCTGTTTTAGAAACTCCTTGCTTCATTTTTATGAGTTGTTTTATGTTTCAACTTTTTTTTTTTTTTTAAGCTAAAGATACAAATGAACTGTTGGTTTATTTGGCAACAGATTTCTTTAAGTAGATATTTAACATAAATATTGGGTTGGGTTTTATTAAAAAGTGATGTTATATTTTGCAGCTCTAAATAGATTCCCAAATACATAACAGATTTGTTGTCAGTGTATGAACCTGCCAGACCGCTCAGGTCTTCTAGTTCCAGCCTACTCTGTCCACCCAGAACTAGAACCAAACATGGAGAAGCAGCATTTAGTTCCCATGTTTCACTGATCTGAAACAAACTCCCACAAGACTGGAAAGTGCTGAAAGCCTTTTTAACTTTTTTAAGTCAAAGTTAAAAACCCATTGGTTTTGTTTAGAACTGCCTTTGACTGTTGAATTTAAACGGTTAACTGAGGTATTATTAGTTTAAGGTTGCGGGCCAGGTGTTTTAAATGTTTTACTACCTGCTTTTATAGCGTTTTTAACTTCTTTTTTTGCTTTTATTTTTCTTGGATTTTATTGTTTAATACATGTAAAGCACTTTGAATCATCCTTGTACTAAATTAACTAACTAAATAAACTTGCTTGCCTTAAATGACTTTTACTTAGTTTTAATCAGGGGCAAAATCACTCTTTGGACATGAAAGTTTGCAGACCCCTGATCTAAGTGACGAACAGCATTTTTCAGTGAATCATCCAAAAATAGTGGGGCATAACTGCAAACCTAATGAGACATGACTGAATACCTAAAACTAAAACACAGAGTGAGGAGATTTATTAATTAATTAAAAAAATAAAGGTCAAGAGGTCCATTCAAGGTCTGGAGGAGTTGCAGAGTTCCACAGCTGAGAATCTGTGAGAGCTAAAATTTCTATAGAACCCTTGAAATCTGGCCTTTATGCAAGGTTTGCAAGAAATAAGTGGTTGCAGTGTCATGCTTTTATAAGGATTTTTCTTTGTTGGGGAATACATTTTGGGACTGAATAAAAACATGTTAAAGGCTGCAAAGGACATCTAACCATCGTTACAATTTTTCCCATTAATGCATCTTTGTGTATAATTATGATCTTTAAAGAAGCTATTCATCAAATCTCACATCAGGAACGTTTTGCAAAGTTTGTAGAGACACAACCTAAAACATCTTCAGGTGTAAATACAGCATAGAGTTCTACAAATGATTGACCCAGAGGAGAAGAACAACACTAAATGCAGTTTTTGCTTGAATTTTATTTAACATTTTTGAAAGGCATGTAAGATTTCCTCTGGATTTACTTACACTTTGTGTTTGTTGATACCTTCATGAACTACATGGTGGTTTGTTGTTATGAGACACTATAATGAAACATTCAATGAGGGTTGCCCTTCCTGTTCCTCTCTTTAGTTGTTATGCATGTTTTTATTGATTTTATTTTTCAGCGAAGCCAAGTGTATGACCTTTGGCATGCTGGTCTTCTTCATCGTCTGGATTTCCTTTGTCCCGGCTTACCTCAGCACACGAGGAAAGTTTATGGTTGCCGTCCAGATTTTTGCCATTCTAGCTTCCAGCTTTGGCCTGCTCAGCTGCATCTTCCTTCCCAAGTGCTACGTTCTTCTGGTCAAACCTGAACGCAACAAAGAGGAGCTGATGAAGCCCAGGCCCAAACCCAAAGACAGCTCCTTCACTGGAACGTCGGCGTCTCTTGCTACAGCTGGAACTGAAATCAATGCATCATTTGCATCCACGGCTATCGATGATCAGCCGGGAAACTAAAATAATCAGGAAGAAAGTTCTAAGAATAATAAATAATAAATGTGTCTTCCTATTCTAGATATATTTGTTTTAAATTTGCTGAAAGTTTCTAAAATATCTATTTTAAACGAAATAATGTCTTTCTCCTGTCCTAAAACTTTAGCTCTTTCAATACAATTTATTTAAAGATGTATCTTTTCTTTCAAATTTACTTTTTAGTGCAAAACTATTCTAAATTAGAACTAGATGCTTTTATATTGTATCATTTGGAGAAGATATTTTCACTAAGATGTTTCTTTTATATTTATTAACTTCTGTATGTTTTACAGTCTATTATATATACATATATATGTATGTCATAATTGTGTTGTCATAATTGTATTCATAATCATTTTAATATGTGATTTTCTCATCTATCTTTCATCTAAAGCAATACATTTTGTTTTCCTGTCCTTTATTCTGAACCCAACTATATGTAGAAGTGAGTGATTCTGTTATTTAAGACAGAATATGGTGTTTTGATTTTAGCAGATTTATAGATTAAAGTTTAAACTGAATAAACTTCTCAAGAAAAAAAAGAAGGAAAATGTATTTTGTTAAGGGGGATAGCTACAAATTTAACTCCTCCCAGCGAGTAAGTGATGCACTCATGCTAAAACACCCTATTTCCATTTTTTTATTATTTGCAGTTGTTTGCAGGGTCTGCGAATGCTATTGCTTTGGCAAACATTTACTTTACCCAACTAGGAGGAAAAATGCAACCTCTGCATGGTTACTGAGTCCCTTTGCTTTTTTATGGAAGCACCAAGATTTAAAAGCTTGACCGATGTTAACCTTTATTGTGCTTCTTTTTGGTCCACTTAAATTTGAGAAATGTTACACTTAGCAGAACACTGTTAAGAAGCTACTAGGATCTGACAACACCTGAGCTCACTGATCCTGTGGGTGCAGAATCTTTTAGAGTTGGCGTTGACATAGCCCAGTTGACAATGCACAAGAAAAGGTCTCAACAATCCAGGAGAACAAGTGGTGTCTATTTTATTTGCATGTGACTTGGAATGTGTGCAGGTGGATGGAACTCCATGCTGCTTAAATACATAGGGGGTTCCACTAGAGATGGCTCTGGTGCGAGCTAACAGAATTGACCAAGACTTCTGGACAGGTTTCAAAATGTCTTCAAAAAAGCTGAGAGAAGTCGGGTTGCATTCCAATTAAAGCCTCTTTGTGATTATTGTTTTTTTTTTTTTTTTTTTTACATCATTACTGTTTCGATAAAAACTTGTAGTTGAACTTTAATAATGGATTCTTAAGCAGTTTAAAAATCAAATATTGTTCAACTAAAACTATGTCTAAGAGGACAGAAAGACTTGATGTCAGACCTTTTTAGAGGCTCCACAGGACCAAGATTCATTAGGATTTTTTGAGAAAGCTCCAAACATTTTTTTACTATAGGGCCGTTAACCAGCCAACATAGCACTCAACCTAAATTTCTCTTCTTGTCTGTCTTTTAGCCTAGTGTTGTCTTCTCCAGCTTAGTTTATCTGAGCCACCAGAAGCTCATTGGCTAATTACCCCCTGACATTGTTTTCTCTATTAAAGAGATATTTGCATCAATCTTGGTCTGACTTCTTTGCAGAGGTGTCAAGTAACAAAGTACAAATACTTCATTTCTGTACTAAAGTAGGCTTTTTAGGTATTCATACTTTACTCCATTACTTATTTTTCTTCCTACTTCTGACTTCTACTCATTACATTTTCACACATGTATCTGTACTTTCTATTCGTTACATTTTTAAAACAAACGTTACTCGTTACTCTTGGCTTCGGTTTAATTTTTATAAATATTTATTTCACGTCATGTGCGCCATCCAATGCAGATCATTGGCGCCATCCGCATCTAGTGAAAACTAGTGTAATTGGATCAGTCATGTAATACAAACACTTACTGGTTAGCTATTTGTCAGATTTGTGCCCACGCCAAAGGAAATCATCAGAAGCAAGCAGGTTTTCTTCAAACTGCAAACGTCTATGCCATGCTACAATGTCTGATTCAGAAAAAGAGGTTGAAATGTCTGAAAGGTCGGACACAGGCGAGAGCGTATCGGGAGACGGAGGCCAACACAACCTCCCTCATTTCGAAATAGCCGAAAAATTGAGCTTTTAATTTTTTTAAAGGTTACTTTATACTTTTATACTTTAAGTAGTTTTTAAAGCACATACTTTTTCGCTTTTACTTGAGTAAAGAGGTCAAGTTGACACTTCAACCTTTACCGGAGTTTTTTAAAACTGCAGTATCTATACTTCTACTTAAGTAACAAATGTTTGTACTTTTGACACCACTGCTTATTTGCCCTGGAAGGTGCGAATAATATTATCTCCACACGATCATAAGAGCAACCAGCATAATAAGGGGAAGTGGTTTAAAGCTGGACTGGTTCCTCTGGGTTAAGGGTCATTCTTTTCCCCTAAGTTGAGAAACTTGAGTATATTGCAGTCCTGTTCACAAGTACTGGTAGAATAGAGCAAAATATGGTTAGACAGACAGCAAACATCTGATAATGCTGGCTTCTGTGCAAACCCCATGGATTAAAGTGCAAGATAAATGCAGAAAGAGCTGAAGGGACTATCTATCTGTTCTGACCTTGGATTAACAATTTAGCATCCCCAGAATAAACATAAAAAGCGATGCCTGTGTTTCACTGCTGAACTCAAAAATGTGACCTTGGATACTGGGAAGATGGTGGATGGATGGAACCATAAATGTAAAACAAAATACACTGCGAGTTAAACGTGTGCAAATGTTTATGTAAAATTCCACAAGAAAATGAGTTTGTAAAGTATTCTGTCCAGCAGAGGGAGCCAGAGGCACCTGAATTGTTTGGTGATATGTATTTTTGTGTGTAAGTGTGGTGGAAAACTTTAGGGAAGGTGGTTGCATGACTGTGTTTTTTACCACTTTATTGAAATTTATAATTGTTTAATTTTAGGAGTCCAAATAATGAATGAGAAAGAGATCTATTTTTTTTCCAGTTTATGTTAGCTGTTGCACATATGGTCAGTTTTCTCTCAGGAACACGTGGCTTTGCAGCAATCTGCCATGAAGCTGTATCCAGTCAAAGCTGCCTGTGTGGACAATAATAAATTCTCCCGGTGACAGAGGGGTGAAGGAATGTGTTTATAATTGAATGTCAGCTGACCGGAGCGGACAGGAACACTTGAGCTAAATTGAGACAAAATGTGCACACATGCATCTCTGCATGTCCATTTTACTTTGCATTTGTCTGAGTTAGTGTTTGCATAACAGAGTTATTTTGAGTTTACAGACTTCTTTTAATCGTTTGTCAAGTCCAAATACTTTGTTCAGTTCATACGGAAGGTGTTTAAACATTTCACTTCAATAAAACATTTGAATACAATTTCTAGTAAAACTCAAAATAGAATTAAGGCTTTGCATAAAGATCATTATGTCCAATTAAAGTCACATATGTGGTGCAGTGGGGAGGGCTGCTGCCTTGCAGCAAGAAGGTTATGGGTTCAATTCTTATCACAGGGTCTTTCTGCATGGACTTTGCATGTTCTCCTTGAGCATGCGTGGGTTCTCTCCAGGTACTCCGGTCTCAGTCCAAAAACAAGACTGCGATGGGCTGGTGACCTGTCCAGGGTGTACCCCTCCTCTTGACTGGAGATAGGCACAAGCAACCCTCGTGACTCTACTTGGGATACGAATGACAAAAAATGGATGGATGGGTTAAAATCTGATTGCTGAAGCAAAGGAAAATGTACCCTGGAAAATAAATAATCTTTCTAGAGTTGTTACTCATAAAGTAGTTATAAAATGTTTTTGCTCTCTTACAGACTGTTTATGTATTTGCTTTTTTGACACCTTACCTGAATAAGTATAACAGGCAATTATATTATTTGATAAAAAAAAAAGAAAGCTATCCAAATCACCTGGAATCTTATGTGGAGAAATAATTGCAGCATTGGGATTTATGTCCAAACTTTAACTACACTGTTATAGATCTGAATGTTTATTTGATTTTGGCTTTTCAGAGGTGACCGTACTGTTATGCCTTGGTATTGTTTACTTTCAATATTAATAAATCAGGTTTGAACTTAAAATCATAAACAAGGTTTCCTAGTAAAACTGCCAGGTCCTGAAACAGCAAATCAGCTTCTGACCATCTCATAAACATTTATTTTTCAATTTTTCAAAACAATAAGTCAGTTTTATGCTTAAACCAAAACAAAATGACATCGTTATAAATAAGGGAGCAATTAATATGGATTTCTAAGAAATGGTAGCTGTACAGCATCAGGTGGATGCCATTTTAAAATGTTCTCTGTCAACTTTCCAGATATAATGTATACTGCTTAATTATGTTGGACTGAAGCAGAAGATTTTATTGCTGTAGGTCTGTAGTGAACTTAGTGGTATTGTGCAACAGAAATGAAATAATGTTTATTGTTCCTCTAGATAGTTTTACATTGATGAGCAGTTTAAGGTTTTTAATGGGCTGAACATGTGGAGTTCCTCTGTTCTATCTCAAACTCACAAAAATAAAACATACTATTTTTTTTATATGAATGTT